GATCAGCACCATGAGAACCTCTGCCAGCAGTAGAGCTATATTGTAGCTATCGTGCATTAAATATATGTAACAGAAACTGGCTATCTGGAAACGTGTTTTTAGTGGCAAAGAGACTCATTTGCTCCACTCTAAACTGCTCCAACAAGCAGCTTTGGTGATAAGAACTGCATTTAAAAATTAATTTTTAATTCTTATTTTCAGTTCTCAGGATTAATATAGCCAAATGAAATAACTTTTGACAAGGGGCAAACTTCTCTTTCAGTGCATGTGAGGCCCAGTAAGAATTTAACTATGGAACAGCACTGCTGTAACTATTTAACTAGACAACTGTACTATTGTTGGTAGTAATTTTAAAATACAGTATTAATTAGGGAAACATGAAGCAGACTGCCGAATGAAATAATATTATTTGAAGAATGAGCAGATGTCAAACACTATAAAATCCCCACAAAATCTGGAACTACGGTCGGATTTAAAAGGAAAAATAAAGACCAATAACATATCTTCAGAAATTAACATCTTTCTGTCGCTCTCTGCCCTATGTATAAATATATAATCAGAATAAAGGTTTAACTTTCAATCAGGTGAAACAAGTATAAACTTTAACCTTGATATTGATATACTGCTCTCTTTAGCTAATCTTCAATACCCTATAATTTTATACTATCCAGCTCAAAATGCAATGTTAATATTAGCTCTTTAAAATATGTGATTATGCCACTGAATATGTGTTAATAAATTTTTCACAAAGGTTTGGTAGTCACCATACCATTCATTTTACAGTAATATTTGACAGGGTAAATACATACCTTTTACCCACTGACTGAGTCCAATACTGCCTACTACAAAGTAAGACACATAGTCTTGTAGCCTTAGTAAGTATAATTACTAATAAAATCTTAAAAGAGGCTATGTTTACCTATAGTTTTCTCATTGTAATTGTAAAACTGAACAATTTCTAAACATTTTTTAAAAGGCCAGCTATAATAAAAACACATGTGGCATGTTATTAAAGAAGGTATATTACAAAGTACACTATTGCTCCATGGTACATACTAGACAAATTTGAAGACTGGTCTCTATGAAATGCTTGAAATAATGCTTCAATTATACACACAACCCATAAGGACTCTGTCCTGCCATGAAAGTTGGACAACTAATATAGAAGACTTTCCACATAGTCTTTCCCAAGTTAAATCTAAATTCACACAAGCTATTCTTTTCACTGCATTTAAGCTTTCATTGATATATACAGGTTATGCACCATCAAGTCACATCTGACTAACAGGAACTCTAATACAGCTTTCAAGATACATGAGATATTTAAGGATTGGCTTTACCAGTTTTACTCTCTTGGTGAGTTTCTATGGTCAAGCGGGAATTTAAACCCATATCTCCAGAATCCTAGTCAGTCATTCTACCCAATATACTACACTGACTTCCATACACACACACATTAAAAAAAACACAACGTTCTTCATATTTACCAACACTACTATTGTCTCAGAAAACCTAATCTGAAGTAGTGCTACACTCAGTTCATCTAAGAGGTCAATGTGCCTCAGTTGCCAGGAGACTGATGGTTGCTACAGCAGCATCAGATAAGCTCAACCAAATAAGCTTCAGATTGAAGGCAGAAAGCATTTATTGCTGGACTTAAACATTGATGCAGTCTGGAATGCAGTTGTGTGCACAAAATCATGCCACTGTCTATCAGTCTTGTTTAAATATATGTATATAGGAGGCCTATAGTACTGAAATTTATTTATTAAAAAGTAAAGATTTTAACTGGACCAAATACTACAACTATGATTCCTTTGTTCTTCTAGCAGAGTCACATGTAATGTGGAATTTTCCCTCTGGCTGTAAATTCCTCTCTACCCTCAAAGTCCCCAGTCATAATGACACAGAAAGAAAAAGGGTTTTACTTCGTTTTGTCTAGTATCTGACAAATAGTATTCAAAAGACATTTTAAATAAAAGCAGATACACACTAACCAAATTCTTTTTATCATGTCCTATCAAGCTTTGTCTTAAACATGAACACAATAAAATGAAATGAATTTTTCTGGCAGATTCAGGAAATGATACACAAGATTTTCACTATTCTTAGTGTAAGAGGAAGGGGAAAGAAAACAGCTTAGGTATGACTGCTTTTATTACAGCCAGCCAGAGGGGGTCACTGCAGAATGATAGAAATGGCACTTTCCAGAAGAACACAGAAACTTGGGACAAAGTTCAGGGTCTGACATAGAATGCCCCCAGAAGAAAGAGAACTTCTACAGACAGTTGAAATGAAATAGTTAAAACTAATATTAAAAGTGCACAATTGGCAAACAAGCATTGTGAAAGCCCATCACCATAATTATTATGAATACCTCTAATAATATATCATAAGGAGAAACCTACATGGCAGCACATAGTATTGTCTATTGCTAAGTCCCATTCAGTTCAATGTAGTTTACTCACAAGTAGTTTGGCACAGGCTTCAGTTTTGGCAATCCATGTGATTATAACAGAGTTTGGTGACAGTCCAAAAACGTTAGGCTTGTTATGTGTTAGCCCTTGACTAGCTCCCAAATGAAGTCCTTTCCTTTTATACAAAGAAATCTAACTTATCTATTATTTCAGTATAGTGCACTGAGGGGCAAATTGCACTATGTATAAAGAATAAAATGTTCTTTAAACACATCAGAAGCCAGGCAGAAAAGCAGCAGAGATGTTAAGTGACAGATACATGAAAGGAGAAATTGTGGCAAAATTGAATGACTTTTTTCAATCTTTATGACAAAAGATCAAGCTACATCTAAACCAGAACCATTTTTTCTTGTCTTATACATCTGAATAGATGAAGACACTAAGCTGTCAATTTGAGTACAGTGGACCCTCTACTTAAGGAATTAATCCGTATTGGAACTGTGGCTGCAAGTCGAAAAGTCTGTAGGTCGAATCTCCATTGATCTACAATGCATTGAAAACTGATTAATCCCATAACCGGCGGTTTTTATTCTATTTTTGTTCTATTTTGGTTTTTTTCTGGTCTGTAGGTCGATTCTCCGGCTGCAAGTCGAATCTAAATTTTGCAGCCAGAGAAGTCTGTAACTCGAAAAGTCTGTAAGTCGAGCCATCTGTAAGTCGAGGGTCCACTGTATTCTTAAAGAAATTAAACAAGGGGAGGGGAATTCAACAATTCACCAACATATTTATTGAGTATTTTCCTTTCATCTTATAAACAATTTTGCATACAGAATTGTTACAGAAATGGGGAAGTGTACATGCTGAAGTGAAGTCCATATGACTTTTGTCATACAAAAAGCCTTTAAATGCTCTGCCAAATATTCAAACTTGAGTATGGTTTGCCATATACTGGGAGTGGCTAAATGTCAGGAAACAGACATGTGATTAAACAAACTTGTCACAATGCAGACAAGTTCACAGGAATCTGCACTGAGACGGGTACTCTTCAGATTAATAAGAAGAATTTTACATATGGGATAACTAGGAAGGGGAAGAACATGCCCGATACTGTTCATAAGCTTTGGATAAGCACAGTGAAACCTATGTGAAGCAGGTTCCTGCTGCTAATGCATTTACCAGTGAATGGTAAGATAGGGATTTTCTTTTTTCTCCTTTCAGGTGCAGTATGGCAAAGATAGGCTGGAAAGTACTCTGCAAAATTCTTTCTGCTTATTGCACATGGCATTAAAAAATCACCTGTATACCACATACAGTACACTTTGTTCAGAAACTGGCATATAGGACCCTATAGTGCCAATTCTATATTTTATTTATTTATTTATTATTCAATTTCTACACCGCCCCTCTAGACAGAGTCTATAGTGCAACATAGTGTATACATCACTCTGTACTTGCCTTTAGTAAGACCGATGCGCTTTTTCTCTTGAGCAAACTGATAATAGTAACTAAACCCCAAATTCATAGTTGGACAATATCTTTATGAGAATCACAAATACCAGAAAGATTATACAAGCTCTTTAGTTCAACAGAATTGTTCTTTAAGCTAGGTGGTACCAAATGCAAAAATTAGGCCAAAACCTTTGTCCATGAGATATACAGTTTAGACTTAGTTTCATGATGGAGCCTGTAGCAGACTGAGTAATTTAGTGAGTCATAGCTGTTATAGGTATCAAATTTACAGCTTATATTTTGAGATTAAGAACCTTGACCCACAAAGGCTGATAGCCAGGGCCACTCTGGGCGGTTTACAATGGCTAAACAGTAACAATAACATAATTACAGGATATAATAACATCAATAAATTATAAAAGTGCAAAATAAAAATACAAGAAATATAAATAGAATGCAATAAAATGAAATAACATGAAAAGCATGGCAGTAGATTAGATGTTACATATCTGATATATGCAAAACAAGAGTTAGTCTGTACTATACTACTTAGTGGTTAAGAATATATGAAGCAGTAAACCAATACTGTGTATATATGTGAGAGGTTTCATATAAATGTCACTCGAATGGAAGAAGATGACCCAGGAAAGAGGTCCCCAAAACTCTTTATAGATAGTAAGAAAAGCAACTTTGATTTAGGTGCTGTCTCTTATTATCTATATATCAGAGTCACTAACAAACAGAAGTATTTATGCAGAACATTTTGTTTTCCACCTTCTTCAATTGTTCAGTGTAAAATTTTACTTACATATATGGTGTGCAGATACTGAATTTTATGTATGCCAGTTTGTCCTCTGTCCTAAGAAGCCTTTTGTGAAATTAGTGAAGTGAAACTAATGTGTTAGAAATAAGAGAAAAGCCTAAAAAGTGAGGGATAGTTAACTATTTAGAGTACTTTTATCCCATTTCTGTATTTAGGATGGAAATATCTACCATGCTTCATTCTGAGGATGGAAATATCTACCATGCTACACAGCTGAACAGTGTTGTCAACTGAAACAGCAAATACAAACAACTGATATAGCCCATTTACCACACTAAGATTTACCATTAACAATATATGCCATAACATACCTGAGTTGTAGTAACAGCCATAGTTACTGAAGATGTAGAAGATGGAGACAAAGTTCCCACTTGTTGCACATGACCAGAAGACTGCTGAGGTAAATGTGAGCTGGAAACAGGAGTGCTAGATCCTGAGCCAGACACTACGTTTGGAAATGACACTGCTACATCATTACTGCTATATATGCCTGGGGGGAAAAAACATACAGAAGTCTTTCTAGATGAATTAACTATGTTACTTACTACATAGGCTAGATCTAAGTACAATCTTGCATCATATGTTACATAAAATCATAACTTAAAAACTTGTTAAAGCCATGTTAAACAGGAACAAAAAACTAAGATAAGTTTTTTTTTTGTTTATGAACAGGTTTGTCTTCTGGCAGAATTTTGTTTTGTTTGGCCTGAGGGTAACAAGTGTAATAAATATTCTAACTTTGAAGAATATTTATGTCATAAACTGTTAAATTGGTAGCAACTGTACACCAAATAATCTTAATTTCACTCCTTTCACAATAAAATAGTCCTTCAAAACTCACTTTCTTCAAGGTAATATCTGCGTTTTAAAATGTATGTCAATAGTTATTAAACATGTTGGTAAGCATTCTGCATTTCTGCCCTTCCATGAACTACACTCAAAACACTTAGAAAACTTTTAGCACACGGATGGCTAGGCTGCTTAGAGGGCAAGTCTCTCTCCTGAACATGAGATCATCATACACGCCTTTGTTGAAAGCATGCCAGACTAAGAAACCAGATAAGCACTTTTACAATAGTCAATGCATCACAGAGTACTCTTTCATTTTACACCAAGACAAGCTCCTGCACTTAGCATTCTTTGCTTGAGAAGCAGCAATGCTTTAGCCAAAGGGAATGTTAGCGTGTGTCCTCGCTGACTGCTGACACTCCTAACGCTTACCTGTAGGTTGCTTTTGATCTTGCTTGGGAAACAACTAGGAAATACCATACGCTTACAGGAAGAAAGCTGGCATATAAAACAAACAATTTCTTAAACCCAGCCAAAAAGCACCACCAAAAATGGAAAGGCACTTTGGAGGCCTATATAGGAGTGCTCAGATTTTTTATTTCATTTGTCAAATTGGGGGGGGCTCCCCACACACACACACCTCAGAGTAGGTTGTCTTACTTCAACTATGCCTAAACTGAAGAATTGCACAGAGGACAAGATAAAGCTTCTGGAAAGATTCACACAAACGTATCAATCTCGGCTACAGTTTTCCTGGACAGAGGAGCACCTGGGCAATTCAGAGGAAAGCTTTTCAAGAAGGGAATTGCCACATCAAAGAGCAGGTTGGCAAAATGGAATTCCACAATTGGTTGCAACACAAGTGATCTACAGAGCCACCCCTGGTATTTGAATGTTAGCAACCAACTAAAAAGTCTGTACTATCTAAACCAGGTTGAAAGCTTGATGTAGGAGGAGGATGCATGAGAAGGGGGGCAGCTCATTAGAGCAGAAGATGACAGAAGACCTGCGTCTCTGTGTAGATCTCTGTACAATTTTGGTAGACTAGCAAGGATTTCTGACTCTTGGTTATTTAACAATAATGAAAACAATGGGAACTTTCCTGGCTGAAACTGTACTGCTGAAATGAAGAAACATTCAGATAACCAAATGTTAATTTTTACTGAAATAACTACAAGCTCTGTTCAGTTTTGGTATGCAGTTCTTTAGCCCAGAATTCTTTTATTCTAAGTTTTTATCTTGTGCTCCAGTCTTTTGGTTGGTAAATCCCATGGTTATGGAGGAAAAGAGTGAAATAAATGATGCAAAGCCTGAAGTCGGCACACCCCAGCTTTACAACACATGGGCTGTCAGTTTTTATCTTTGCTGTCAGGCAAGAACAGTCATTTGCACAGACTTCAAGGTTTTTTATCCACTATATGAGGTAATAAGGTGAAATGAAGAAAAGACAAATCAGAAGTGGAAACAGTGGACAATTAATGAGAACTGAGACAGGAGTGACTTAGGGCATATAGAGATACTGAGAATTTGAGGTTAGAGCTGATTTTAGTATGTGGTTTTTCAGTTTCAAGAAAAAACACCAAAAATTCATGCATCTAGAGGTTTCAATAAAAGTGACTATGTACTGGTAATTCATTTTGGGGGTTAATATTTAAGAGTTAAAACAAAGGCGTAACAAAAAAAGGCTGATAAAGTAAACTGCAAATCACTGGTTCCTGTAACCAGAAAACATTGTTGTACAATGGACTTCCACACCACTTAGTCAAGAATGCATTAACCACTGCAGCTTGCATAGTCACTTGTGAAGCACTATCTTTCTGCAATACAGCATTGGTACTGCATGCATTTTCAAAAAATTTCATGCATTTTCATTTAAGTCAGAATGAATATTGTCACATATTAATAACTTTGTTTTATGTTCATTAGCAAATAAAATAATTTCAAAAACATTTAATTTTATTGAGTGAGTGAGTGATTGATTGCTCTTTCATTGGCTGCAGCCCAGTACCAAGCCACTACTAGCCTACTAGTCACTTCCACTGGCATAACACAATTGATGTAAAACAACTTGGTGTGCAACAGCAAATCACTACAAAGAATTTTTAAGTTGCAGCAGTTCACCAATAAGATTTATGCCAACTGCATTACACCACAGTAAAAACTCTAAAGGACTACATTATATTTAGATCATATTTTCAGTAATATTAAACAATGCTGACATTTTCTGGAGCAAATCTTTCAAAAAGCAGGCATCCTATGGTACCTTGAAGACCATTAAGGGTTTTGTGGATTTAATTTTCAGAGGCTAAACCTACTTGTCACCTCCTGTTTTTCAAAAGCTTTGTCACTGAAATTATTTGGCTAAAGAGTTGGAATAGCTGAAAATGATTTCTTATTCAGTATGAAACCTGATTTTTAGCACACAAAAATCTTCATTTTGTTAAAAAGCAAAGGGGGAAATTACCTTTATGCCAAATGTTCTGCTCCTTGACTGCCCAAATGTCTGGGTGGCCAACAGGATGATTCCCACACAAGTAAGGCATCAGAAAAGAACCACAAGATTTGTGGTAATTAATAATCTTTATGGGGAAAGATGCCTAAGGCATGTGGGGCATACAAAAAATGCCAAAACATACTATAAGATAGAATAGTATGGGCACAAAATACTGAGTGACTGAAGGATGGAATGGCATATCCTGGAACAAAGCATAGTTGTCTAATTCCATGAACTAATAAAATGATTAGTTCTAAGTCCCACTTACAAATGTTTTTAATTTTCAACACTGAGCATTTGTTAACAAACAACACCTCTATAAACTATAATGGTAACTCGGCATTTCTAATAACAAGGTAAAACATGTTACAAGGAACCACTGTCATTTCAAAATGCTCTGCCCTTCTAAATGCTAGTCTGAATAAGAAATTCCATCAAAACAAGATAAAAATATACAGCTCTGTACTGGGTGCTGCCTTTTTTTTACTTTTTATTTGGTATTTAATATCTCTTTAAGGTGCTGGAGGGGAAGGAAAAGAGGCTGCAGTTCTACCCAAGTTCAAATACTGGTAGCTGACTCTGGTCCTTTAAACCCCTTGTACCCAGCTAGACTATTTATCTTCAGCAGAAAAACTCTGCCCACTCTCTTTTAAGTTTATAGACTTGAATCAGAAGGGAGCAAAGGAATACTTGGCAGAGTAGTAGGAGCAGCTACTATGGCATCCATGGCCAGTATCCTTGTGAACAGCTGCATTGGCACATGTAATTTAAAAGCTATCCACTAATATTCCTATACTATCTCGTAATCAGTTAAAAGGGACTGTAATGGTGGTGACATTATAAAACAGACTATCACTGCTTCCTCCTTCAAGCCATTAACTTTGGGAAATGCCGTAGCTCGGAGGCAGAACACATGTACTACATGCAGAAGATCATGGCATTCCATCCCTGGCACCTCTTGTAAGCATTAGGGAAGAATTCTTCCTAAATATCTACAGACCCCTAGACAATTGGTGCAAGTCAGAAATAATACTGGGCTAGATCAGGATTCTCCAAACTACAGCCTGTGGGCCATATCCGGCCTGCCTTCCTGTTTTATCCAGCCTGTTCCCTTCAGCCCATACGTATGTGTGCGCACAGGGGGATGGATGCATGCAGGGGTACGGGTATATGTGGCTGCATGTACATGTGCATGCACATTCCTGTTCCTTCAGCCCTCAAAAATGTTGCAAATATCCAGTGTGGCCCTCACCATCAAAAGTTTGGAGACCCCTGGGCTAGATGTATCAAGACTCTTCTTTGACATAGGTCAGGTTCCTATGTTTCTTAACTTCTGCTATTGTCTAACTACTGATAACTAATGTTCTTTCCTAGCTCTTTTTCTTGCTACATTTCCTAACATGCTGTCTTCCAACATATCCCTTCCTCAAATTCTCTTACTCTGTTCTGCTCAAGTGTTAGTGCCATTCCATGACTGCAACTTATACTTACTCTCAGTTTCTTGCATCAGCTTTAAGAGAGCCATCAGCAAAAATAAAAATACAGTGGTGCTTCGCTTAGCGATGTTAATCAGTGCAGCAAAAATCGCTGCTAACCAAAAACATTGCTAAGCGATTTTTAAAAGCCCATAGGAATGCACTGAAACCCCTTCAATGCATTCCTATGGGCAAAAAACCTCACCTTTAAGCGAAAATCCTCCATACAGCGGCCATTTTCGCTGCCCGGTATGTGAGGAATCCGTCCCAAAACACAGCGTGCGGCCATGTTTTTTTTCCGGCGGCCATTCTGGAACCGCCAATCAGCTGTAGGAAAAAGATTGCTATGCGATAATCGGTAAGCAAAAGAGCTTACCGATCATCACAAAGCCATTTTTTCCTATTTAAAACATCACAATGCGATCGCTTTTTCGATCGCAAATTCTTTGTCGCTAAGCGGTTTCGTCATTAAACAGGGCGCTCGTTAAGTGAGGCACCACTGTAGAAGTATTGCAACTACAGTGCAGTTGAAGTAGCAGACAGTAATCCATAAAAGTCCACAATGATTTCTCTTTTTTTAAGTTTTAAATGTGTCACAATTGTTGTGTGTGTGTTGTGTGTGTGGATATCATGACAGCATATCCTGAAAACCAGCCCAAACAACATTAGTGCCAATTCCAGACATAAAATAATTTGTTTGAAGATTTGTTCATTATAGAGCAGCCATAAGAA